GGCCGACCCTGCGCTCACACCCCATGCCCTTACCATCACAGGTGTAACCAGCTGGGATGCCCAGCAGCTCACTCTGGGGAAGATCACACTAAACTCACCCGCCACAGAGAGGACAGACCTAAATCGTCTTCAAGCTATGGTAATTCCTCCCGAGGACACTCCTAATTACCTCTCCCAACTGACCCCTCCCACCCCCATTGACATCAACAAATTTGCATCCTACCTTCAGGGCTATCCAGATCACACAACAGTTAATCATCTTCTCACAGGGTTTCCTCAGGGCTTTAAGATTGGCTATTCAGTGACGTCAACAATGACGTGCAGTATTCCACAAGGGAGTTCCCTAGGCCCAGTATTATTTTTAATCTACATAAACGATTTACCAAACTGTTCAAATGCTCTAACATTTAGAATATTTGCAGACGATACGAACGTTTTTGCCTCAGCCCGCAACCTGAAAGATCTTGAGGAAATAGTTAACTCTGAACTTAAAAAAGTGAAAATATGGTGTGATGTAAATAGATTGTCAATTAATTTCAATAAAACAAACTTCATGATCATTAAATCGTCAAAGAAAAAAGATGACCAGGTAAATGTCAAGATTGAAAGTGCAGATGGTACAATAAATGTTCTGCAAAGGAAGCAAAAAATAAAATATCTAGGTGTCTTGGTTGATGAAACGATGTCTTTCAATCACCATATTTCATACATCTGTACAAGAATTGCGCGAAACAATGGTATTATATCTAAGCTGAGAATAGCCTGCGAGCAAGCTCTCCTATTTGGGCGAGTGAAACGAGTCTCGCGAGAACGCGCGAGCGAGCGGCGAAGCCGCGAGGGGCAGAGGAAAGGAGAGCTTGCAACCATCCCTTACAAAATTTCATTTGTACTTCGCCCAGACAAAGGGAAATACCATTGGCTGAAAAATGACGTTCCGGAAATCAAAGTTGATTGATAACAGGCCAAGCTGGCACCCGCTTCGTCTGTGCGTCAAATTTGGTTCTGAAGGGGATCAGATTGGTACCGAGAACTTTGTTCAGCCCTCAATGCAGACGGGCTCGCTTGTTATAATTCTCGCAAAGAGAATATTGCGTGCCGAGGATAAGTCGGACCGAGTTTGTAGTTCTTGTGGAAGGAAAATGAAAACCCTTCATCAGTTGTATTCATTTGTGTCAAGCGCCTTGTTTAGTTCTGAAAACCGGGAGAGTGAAAGTGAAGAGTGTTTAAAGCTCTGTCTTCCAACATCGGTTTCTTCGCCCGATTGAATTCTACTGGGTAGAAAAAATCACAAACATGTACTTGACAGTGTAGCTGTGTAGCTTGATCATAAAGAAGGAAAAGAGAAAGAGTTGGAAGCAACTGGAGTAAACCTTAAGAGAACCAAGTGCCGGAAAACGCTATTCTCCAGTTCCAGACGGACAAATATATAATGTTTTTGTTGGTGATTGCGATGGGGAGTAGTCTTCTACGCTGCAGTATGGACGACCTTTCAAAAGTAAACGAAACGAGAATCAAAGTAGTGAGTTCTTATCCGAGCGGACACGTTGAAGTTCGATGTCCCCGTGAAAAAAAAACATATCAGTGATATTAAAAACATTGCTTTAATGTTGTTGCGAAAGCGATTTATAAATAAATAATTCTACGCGCCCTCGGCTGTCTAAACTTACTTGACAGGCGGTTGTCATTTTTCTAATCTGCCGCACGTTTGCGGTGACAATTTTCACGTTTTGCGGAGTCCCGGGGTTTCCGGGGTGGAAATGAAAATTTATGAGAGATGGTTGCAAGCTCTCCTTTCCTCGGCCCCTCGCTCGCGCGTTCTCGCGAGGCTCGCTTCGCTTGCCCAAATAGGAGAGCTTGCTCGCAGGCTAAGCTGAGACATTATCTAACTCTTCTACAAATGAAACAAATCTACTACAGCTTAATATACCCATATATCTCTTATGCAATATTAACATGGGGGAGTGCATACAAAATACATATTGATAAGATACAAGCTAAGCAAAATCATTCTGCTAGGCTTCTTTTCTTTGCCACCACTTATGGTGAACACACAGAAAGTGCACTTCCCCTACTAAATTTATTAGACGTTTACAGATTCTAAAATTCACGTACCTCTGGCATAAAGGCCTCCTGCCAGGGCTGTTCTCAAACTATTTTCAATATGCCAGTAATGTCCACAAATACAATACTAGATGTGCATCGAAACAGAATCTTTACGTAAAAAAGTGCGAAATAATACGGGGAAACAAACAATCGGATATGCTGCATGTACCGTCTGGGACAAAATTCCCTTAACTCTTAAAGAACTAAAAAAATACCAATTCCAAAAACAACTGAAACCTTTTTTGCTGTCAGAACAACATAGTTAACATAACTTAAGCATAAACTCTTTCTTTCTTAATACATTGTATTTTCAAACTACTTCTTTGGTAATAAATTCTATCTCAATTCTCTAAAACTTTAAATTCTGGAGAACTGGCTAGAAAGTCTTAGGATTACT